TCGTAAAGGTGTCATTTTCCAGCAGAACAATGCTAGACCGCACACGACTTTGTCCACTCGGCAAAAATTGATGGATATTGGTTGGGAATTGATGTTACACCCGCCATATAGCCCCGATCTCGCGCCATCGGATTACCACTTATTTCGATCCCCGGACAACTCCCTTCGTGGTAAGACTTTTAACGATGATGACGCTGTAAAATCTCACTGAACTCAGTTTTTGGCCGAAAAGGATCAGACTTTCTACGAGCGTGGAATTTTCAAGTTGTCAGAGAGATGGCAAAAGGTCATCGAACAAAATGGAAAATACGTTACAGATTAAACTTCATTCCAAGTAAAAAAAAAGTTTTTATTTCATTGAACAAATCGGCAATTACTTAGTTGCCAACCCAATAGTTACAATATACAGTTATAATAAACAGAATAAGCCTGGCCCAGTTCCTCGAAGTACCCTGCACTATAAAGAGCTAAATATCGATAATCGATTAGTGGCATCTCTGCTCCGGCAGATGTGTCCGCGCATCTTCGATCCGGCCCTATACGTATTTGTCCAACACTGTCTCCGCGGGTGATCCCCGTGAGTCATTTGTCGGGAATAAGGAGTCGCCGGGGACAATGCGAACTCGGCCGACCGTCGAGAAACGTGAAACCGGATGTTGGGATTACAGATCTTTGCGAGATCTTGGCCGAAGACACCGCGAGGGATAAAGAAGAAAAAAAAAGGGAATCGCGTTTGTATTGTGTAACGTTTCCTGGCCGGCGGCGACGAAAACGCTCCTCTAGCATCGACGAGAGGAAGAAATTATAGTAATTCGAGTAGTGGATTGGAATGGTTTGCTTGTGTCCTCTTGGTTATCTACCTTCCTTCTCCCCAACCTCTTCCATTCCGTGCGACAACGGGGAGCGGCAATCGCAGGTGCGACCGCGTATAATGTTACCAGAACGAACAGAAAAAAGAAAAGGAAAAAAAGAAATGAAAGAGGCTGGGTCCTCCTCGGATAGGTGTAACAGTGGTAGCAGGGCTAATGCGTGAATCTACGATGTTTTTAGGCCAGATTAGAAAGAAGCGGGATCAGGGTTGCCGCAACAGGTGGACCCTCTTCCCTTTTGCTGCTGTCCGCGGGTACCTTCATTCATTTTTTCTAGCGAGATCTTAAAGCCCCCTTTGGTAGGTAATGGATTTGCTCGGAAATCAAGACGCACGGGAACAGAAAAAACTGCACTCCGAGCGTACAGGTTCTTCGATTCCAACCCGCGATAACTGTCCAACCCTTCTCCGGGGCTTGTCCGAGCTTTTACGAGCCCGGGCTACGTATGGGTGAATACAGTTCACAGATTATTGCCCATTTGTGAGATCATATTCTAGATTTGTTCATATCTGGGACGCATTTCTCAAGAGCGGAATAATCATTCGATTCCTGAGGAATGTTTCCTAAACCTTTATATTTTCAGCGATTTTTTCTTGTGTTCGCGTTCCATATTAATATTCCAGCTTTGTTGTTAAACGATCGTCCGATTCAAATTGATTCGATTGGAACAAATATTTCACGGTTAAATATTTTAATACTTTGCAACTACGACTTTTAAATTGTAGTTATATTTATTTCTAAATATAGGAGTAAGGCAATTACTATTTTTATAATATATCGTTTTCGGTACACTGATATTCAGTTAAAATTGCGATATAATAATTAATAATAATTGCAATATAATTGCGATATAATAATTAATAATAATTGCAATATAATTGCAATATAATAATAAATAATAATAGCAATATAATTGCAATATAATAATTAATAATAATTGTAATATAATTGCAATATAATAATAATAATAAAAAATTTCAATATAACCTTAACTAAATATTTATTGAACTATTTAACATCCAGTGACATGCAGCATATACATTTCTAAGCTGAAATAATGTTTCCCGTAAGATTTCTGTTGTAAAACGTAATATAATTAGTATTTCTCTTTAATATTACTATTATTTTATCATCGTACCGATGCCACTATTCTTCTTGATGCTACTACAAATGATCATGAAACATATTTTGTATGATTCAGTGTACAAGTAGACTGCATAATTCGTACAAAACACCGCAAAGATCCATAGAGAGAATGCTTTTTTCATTTATGTTTAACGATGTTCCGAGTAAACCGTATAAAACACGTCTCAAACAATTCGATCGTTTGTTCTGTTAACACTAAACCTACCGTGGCGATCGCACAACTCGATTTTAGGGTCGGTACTTCGGCAATCAATGGAATCACGAAGGTGCAGAAGCAAGGATTCGACGGAATAAATCGCGAGTAAAGTTTCACAGGGTTACGATGTGAGGTTTCGTCTGATTAATAACCCTTGAAACGTGATATTTACCTGCCTATCGCAATTTGAGAACGGAAAGGTTTCTCCCAATTTAAGTTTTTAACGATGAAACTGGATATTCCAGATGAATTTACGGCCGGGACAATTGCGTTCGAATTTCAAACCGTGCTGCAAGCGGCGCAATTCTATGGACGACTATGGCCGATTTTACAGGGGAGGCCCATCGGCAAAAAATGGCAACTTCTTCGAATTACTTGCAGCGATTCAAACGAGATCGTAGGGTTACCTTTCCTCGCTCCGCGCTTTTGTTAACGAATATTTCTGCGGCTGTAAAGAAAATCCGTAAACATGTATGGTAAACATGTAGATATCCATTATCTGTTGTTTAAATGCTGTAAATACCTGGTATTTATAGGAAAAAATTTTGATGCGACAAGTTTCCAATGTGCCATTTTTATTATTTGGAAATTTACGAAAATGTACTCGGAATAATTTCTTTAAAATTGAATCGAATGATTTTGTTTCAATTTCAGACTGACTAGTTTACTAGACAGCGAGTAAAAAAAAATATTCGCGAAAATTATAATTGGTTGAGATAACAAAAAATGATAAGAAAGATAGGTTCTTCAACTATTTTATTTGTGTTTGTAATTGAAAATGTAAATAATACGTTTTATTGTTATGTATCTTTTCTGTCATTTTTATTAAGTTTCAATGTAATGCAATGTAATAAATTTATTCGAATGTATGTTAATCCTTTCAGTGCTGACCAAAATGAAAATGTGTAATGCAAGAAATATCTAATCTTTCATATTGTTTTTGTAACTTTATAAGTATATCACTTTTATACTCTTTCATATTATAAATCATATGAAGATCGTGGTAGATCGAATGTTTCGCAAATACCACAGATTAAATAATTTAAATAATATTAAATAATAAATATTAAATATTAAAATAATATTAAAATATATATAATATTAAATATTAAAATAGTATTAAAAATATATAATATTAAATATTAAAATAATATTAAAATATATATAATATTAAATATTAAAATAATATTAAAATATATATAATATTAAATAATTTGGTTCTGGTTTGAA